CACTTTAAGTGTGAGTAGCTGTACATATAGTTTTGATAGCTGTGAAGTACAGCAAACGCTATACACATACATAGCTGTATACGCTTTTTTTGGTTTTGGCTTCGGGCCTTTTCATCTTTCATTTTATAATTTAACAACCACCTAAAGGATAAACGCTGTTGCAGGTGAGTGATTTTGTTCTTTTTCGTGAAGTGTGTGGAAAATCTTTTCCTTTTACTGGAATAAAACCACAAGTGCAAAACTGCCGCAAAAGGCAGTAAAAAGAAAAGCCGCTATGGCGTCGTCGACGTCGTCGTCGCAGACGCCTACGGCAGAAGATTTTGAGGTCTTCTCGAGCGCTAATCTTGCTAAAGGCAGGAAGCTCAAGACAGACACGCAAGCTAAAATAGTGAAATTTTTAAAGACCCAAGATTTGGCAAAGATAAAAGCCCAAATAAGTACAACTGGTGAAATCAACTTTGACGAGCATGTGCAAGATGATGCAATGTTAGAAGACGCCGACGCGTCAAACGGTAACATAACGGGCAACACAATACCTCTATGTGCGCCCGATGGCTCACATAATGCAGGTACAGTGGAGGTAAAAAATAATGACACGCTAATTTTAAATGACGTACAGCTATATCCGCCAAATTTTTCTGGCCCAATTCTGATTTTAGTGGACTCATCTGAATGCAAAGACATTCAAAATGATAAAATAACCAATGGATTGACCCTTTTCAATAAAATTAAACATTTGAACATCAAAGATATTGACTTTATACAGTCAATAGGCAAAACTCTCTACAAAGTGACCTTTAAAAATTGCGCATCTGCAAATAATTTTATTTTAAACAAAAAAATTAGCGAATTAGGGCTTAAACCCTTCATTCCAAAAACCGCTTTGGAGTCTTATGGTGTCGTTAGAGGCATCCCCACCTCTTACACCGACGCTGAAATCAAGGCTAACGCCATATCCAGCGCTCAGATTATGTCTGTGAAACGTTTTTCTCGTAGGCTTGAAGACAACACCTACGCCTCCACAACCACGATTGAGTTAGGCTTTACTGGAAAAGAAGTTCCTAGATATATTATCTTAGATTACACAAAACTATATGTGGATTTTTATATAACCCCTCTAAGGCAGTGCATGAATTGCGGTAGGTTAGGTCATACCCAATTCTCATGCAAGTCCAAAAAGAGATGTATTATGTGTGGTGAAGCCAGCTGTAAGGAGGAATCTTGCAGAAAGAGGTGCATTCTGTACGGTAGCACCGAACACACCTCCGCAGACAAAACCAAGTGCCCAGAATGGGAAAAAGAAGAGATGGTAAATCATATTAGGGCTGTTAAAAAAATATCCAGGAGAGAAACTTTCCAAACCTACTTTCCAAATAGACAAAACAAATTTGATTTGTTGGCTGCTGACGACACAGTTTTCCCGGCTCTAACCCGAGAAAGCAACACAAAGAACAGAGATGACAGTGTGAATAGGAGGATGACTAAAATTAAGTACAGTTGGGTAGCTAACAGAGCAACCTCAAGGCAAGACACGAGTGGTAGAACGGTCGAGAGGTCCACGAATAGACGTGACAGTATCGAAACAACTCCGGTTTTCGACAAACCAGAATATATTAGAAACAAGGTAACAGAGATGGAGAGGATACTTAGTGACCTCTTCAAAATCACCCAAACTCTATGCATTGATGAGCAACTGAGCAAACCACTGACCGAAATTTTACAACTAAAACAAAAATTTTAAAAAATAATAATACAAGATGAACTAGAAACCATGAAGCAAGGGTGTAGTGTGCCCCCGCAAAATGTATGATGAAGATCCTCCAATACAATTGCCAATCCCTTAAAGCAAACATTGACACAATCGATTTTTTTCTAAATCAATACAACTATGACAGCTGTTTTGAGCGAAATTTTCAGTTCTAATGAACAACCCCACAGAAATATTACTGACTTCAATATAATTGAAAAAATAGAGATGATGGATATGGAGGTGTAGCCATAGTCCTAAATAAAAGAATAAAATTCCGCAAATTGATTTTCAGCTCCGAACTCGACATACTGACGATTCAAACAAAAAACCTTAAACCAAACTTAGTATTTTGCGCAGCCTACTTCCCACAATCCATACCCATTGAATTTTTTAGAAATGAGATGCACAGACTGCTATCCTTTCTGGAAAATCTTGAAAATGTCCTCATATTAGGTGACTTCAATGCGAGGGCCAGAGTATGGGGCGACCAGATAACCACCTGTCGTGGAGGTAATCTGCAAAAAATTATAGAGGAATACAACTTCTGGGCGGTAAATGACGGTTCAATTACCTTTAGAAATAACCTTGATCTCCCTAATGGGTCTGTGTTAGATCTCTCCTTCTCCAATAGCAACCTGTCCTTTCAATGGAAAACTGACCCTATTAGAATAGGGGGCAGTCACCATTTTCCTATAACAATTGAAAACAGCACAATTGAAAACTGTTCGCCCAGATTTCTAGCCAAAAACAAACTCATGAAAGAATTAGAACATCTTAATCTACCCCCTAATGTCGATGATATTCATCACAAATTACAAGAAGAGCTAAATGCGGCCACCTATTCTGTTCAAGGAAACAGGTGCCCAAAAGGTTGGTGGAACGACTCATTAACAAAAACATTCAGATTTCTAAAAATTGCCTATAAAAAGTGCAAAACAGAACCTACTCCACAAAACTTCCAAAATTTGCTTGACATAAAGAAAGACTGGAAAGAACAGGTAAAAGAGGCGAAAAAGAAAAACTTTCAGAACAGGATAGATCAACTGAATGAAGACCCAACAACAAAACAAGCATGGCGTTTTGTCAAAGCTATGAGAGGAGATTTTAAAACTAACAATAGAGGAGCCTGGTCAGATGTAAACAATCTGAACTATCTTCAATATTTAAAAAAGTCAAGTTCCAGGATCCAACCACAACTTCCCAATCAATCAGGAGATTATGCCTGCAAACACCCTGGCTATATCGTTTGAGGAACTGCACGAGGTACTAAAAAAAAAAAAGAGGAGTTCTGCTGGAGGGGCTGCCCGTATCACATATAGCATGCTGAAAGCACTACCGGACCAATCACTGAACAACATCCGCACAATGTTAAACGATGTCTTTCTGACGAATCAGATTCCTGAACAGTGGCGTACTATCAGTGTAGTACCCATCCCCAAAAGGGACAAGGACCTGAGGGATTACAAAAACTTTAGACCAATAGCCCTCCTGCCAGTTTTTCTGAAATGTATAAATTTGGTAATAAAAGACAGAATCTCCAATTTTGTAGAAGAGTCTGCTACCAAACCGTTCTTTCGCCTATAGGAAGAAAAAATCCGCCACTGTTTGTATAAACTATATGCTACATGATCTTGCCATACTCAAAAACCAAGGCATTAAAACTATTATCGTATCAACTGACATCAGTAATGCGTATAACTGTGTCAGTCTTGAACAACTCAAAATAATCATGACCACGATTGGTTTGCATCCGACCTACATTGAATTCATCTCAAATTTTTTGGCTTTAAGAAAATTAGTGCTTGGGGTGGACACCATTGATATAAATGATGGCCTCCCTCAAGGTAGTTGTCTCTCACGCCTGCTTTTCAACATTTATACAAAACAGCTCCATTCCATTGAAGACACCAATACCAAAGTGTACCAATTTGCGGATGACTTTGTATTGATGTCATCTCATCAAAATCTGGATATAGCGGTTCACAACCTTCAAAATAAAATAATCAACTTCTCAAACTTATGCAACAATTTAAACCTATCTTTCAACCCAGACAAGACTAAAATTATGCACTTCTCCAAAAGCAGGAAAAAAACCCATTAATATAATGGTTCACAACCAACGACTCGAACAGGTTAACACTCTCAAATTCCTTGGCAGACACATCAGTGCATCGTTAGCGGTTAGCGAACACTATAACGATGTTGTTAAGAAATCACAAAAAAATTTAAATCTATTTAAATGTATAACCACGGTAAAAGCAGGTCTCCACCCTAAGGTGGCCCTCAACTACTACCGCGCCATAGTGAGAAGCAAGATAGAATACAGCAGGTCTTCCATGTCAAACTGTGCCAAAACTACAAATAAAAAGATCCAAACGTACCAGAACAGTTTTCTAAGAAGGAGTCTTGAGTTAAATCCATCCACACCGGTCCCCCTTATATATGCGGTGGCAAATGAGCTGCCACCCGGTGAGAGAGCCTATTGGCTCACTGCTAAGGAGTTAATTACTAACATCACTTTTGACGAAACTCTTAAAGAACAATTATTCAATGGTCCCAGTGTAAATTCCAGTTATAGTTTTATATTTAATAAATTTAGACATATTTTCGCCAACCTCAGGACAACCGATCAAACTGTTCCTTATAACCCTAGGCTCAATATAATCTCCCAAACCCTCTATAACAAAAAATCTGAGGTACCTAGTGAAACCATCAGAACCATTTATAGACAAATGGTTCATGATTATGATTTGGCTGGGTACAAAATTTTCTTTACAGACGCCTCAGTTGGCAATTTAGCCACTGGAATAGCAATTTACAACTATTCGAACAAAACTAAACACTCCTGCAAGTTAAACTTTAAGTCTTCCTCCAGTTTCGGAGAAACTTTGGCTATCTTAAAAGCTGTACAGCTGGCTAAACAACACAATTATAGTAAAATAGTCATTTTCACGGACAGTCTAGTAGCATGCCAATTATTAATCAAAAAACGAACCCAAAATTATATTCATGATACAAAAAAGAAGGTAGTTTCAATAAACAACTTTTTGATTAAAAAGGAGATTTTTGACAATTGCTCAATTGTAAAAAAATCGAAGCGGCGTTACCCAATTTAAATGTTTTGGTAGAGGGGATTTTATATCATAAATTTGGGAGTATAAATAAAATAGCTGCATTAACATTTACCTTTTAAAAATAATTAATATTTTATCTTAAAATTGTTTAAATTTTACATTAAATTCGATAACTACTTGCCAAAATCTTTATTTTTACATTAATAAAAGTAGTAGTTAGTGAACATATTTTAAAATTGTTTAGTGTCATTATGTCATCTGATTATTACACAATGTAGCTAGTCAGGACTACTACAGTTTTCTATATCGGATACGATTGTTTCTGATATAATTTCGATATTTTCTTTGTCCATGTCTTTCAAGTAACGTGAAAACTGAATTTACTTTGGGACCCGTAGGCGTCATGACTTTCAGAGAAGTGAGTATTATCCAATTCTAGTATATTTCGCCAATATCGTTGTTTCTTTGGATAAAATTAAAATATATTTTACTCAATATTGGAGTTGGTGTGAAACAAAATTTGATTTATTGTTAGTATGAAAACTAGAAACACAATTATCAACTTATTGAGCATGCTCTTTCAAATACAAAAGGGAAAAAGTTCGGTTATTTGTGCAATGGTTTTGGGATGGGGAGCGGAGACGGAGGGACGGACCCATTGACAAATTGGGTAAAATTTCGGCAGCGCTTAGAAAAATAACTCTCATCAGTCCAACTCCGGCTACGCTGACCACAGTATTTTTTACAAGAAGGTCCATAATTCAAACCGAATTTATTCATAAATTTGTATCTGAAAACTTGAAATTTTTATTTTAAACTTACGTTTAATTGTTTGACAACACGTGTGTGTTAAAATTTTTTGCTTTGGGTTAAGTTTTGTGACACAACAACCCAAAATTATTGTACAAATAACAAAATACCTTTTGCTAGTTCAAGTTTCGATTTTAAGAATAAAATGTTTGTAAATAAATAAAAAATTAATAATAAAATTTAGAGTATTTTAGATATTGCATACGGTAGCACGAAATGTCACAATCTACTTAATTGTCAGGTTGTTAATATGGCGACGAAAAAGTGACAATGGAACTACCTTCTTTTTTGTATCATGATTATATTATCAGCGATATTCATAATACTATACTAGAGACAGATTATGACAGGGTGACCTTAATATGGACACCAAGCCACAAGGGGGTTCCTGGCAATGAGACAGCTGATGAGCTAGCCAAAGATGCACTCAATCTGGATGAAGAAATACATGTTAAACTCACTAATGAGGAGGCCCTAAGAAACATCAAAAATGAAATTTACCAAAGATGGTATGAAGAATTTCTAGCGTACTCTTCCCTTAAACCAAATCTTTTTTCGCAGATTTTCCCCTTCAAATCCAAGAAAACCTGGTTTCATGATGGCCACTTAGATGCCAAAGACACCAAAATAATCAATCGCATTTTCACCGGCTGTACTTATGACAGCGAATATCTTTATAGAATCAAAGCCAGAAACTCAAACATATGTAGATGTGGTATGCAATACAGTTATATACATCAAACCTTCCACTGCTCCTTTTTAAATAGCGCTCGGGAGGGCCTCGATATCTTCAGAGATAATGGCAACTTCCACGATATCCTTCACGATCTCAACTACAGCAAAATCACTCAACTTACCAAATTCTTTCAAAAAGCCGAAATCAAATTTTAACGTTAACAAAATTTCATTCATTTCATTTTAAGTTTATCGGTGGTTCAGTACCGTCCACCGAACTCATTTCCTTTTCCAAATCCAAATCCAAAACCAAAAAAAAAAAAACCATGACACCAGCAATACAAAATACATGTGGTTGTTGTTGTTCTAATCTAAATTCGCCAGTAACATCCCCTTCCATAAATCCGCCTTGATTAAAATCAGTAAAACGGTGCGGTCCACGCTTACTTTTTATTTATATACTTTTTATTTATATTTTCCCTCAACGGCCGCTATACTTCACTTGTTCCGCAGTTGTACCCCGCAGAATTACCACAATTATTTGAAATTCATCAAAACGAACGCAATGTTTTTTACAAACAACTTTGGAATGAATTAAAAAAGTTAATTTCCGCTTGCAGATTATTATGAGGGTTGACACGCGGTAGCCCTCCCAACTTTTTTGGATGATTTTTGGGCAGGTTCCGCTAAAACTGCACTATAACATCAACTTAGAGGGAAATGTCCCATAATTTAATAACTTACATTTTTACTTCACAGGACTTTTCATGATTACAGAAGGGGCAATTAAACTGCTGGTCCAACGGCTCAATATTTTTCTTTTTTGGTGGAGGTTTTCTTTTCGATTTTCTGCGACCCATCTCGTTCAGTTAAATGTAGTTCTATTAAGCCGACTAGAAAGGAGACATCACTATAAGTGCAACTTTCCTTTTTACAAATAGGAATTAGTTATGTGCTGAATTTTAGGTACACAATACTCGGTACCCAATACTTAAAAAAATTTCAGTACCCAATACTTCCTTTTCGGTACCCGATACCGATTCTTAACATTAAGGGCCGTTTGCACCATGTCTAGTTAATTCTAACTCCCAGTTAAACATCTTTAACGACGTTATCGACACCCATCATATAACATGTGATCGATAAAGCAGTGGATGTGCTTAACTGAAGGATGTACCTCCAGTTAGCGTTAACTAGACATGGTGCAAACGGCCCTAAGGGCCGGTTTTTCAATGTCTGGTTAACACTAATCTCCGTCTAAACATCATTATCGACGTGTTCGGCTCAATGCATATAACATGGAGTCGGTAACGTCGATAACGATGTTTTACCGGAGATTAGTGTTAACCAGACATTGAGTAACCGGCCCTAAACCTTCGTTAATATATGCATTTCTGGTTTAGAAAAAAATTTTAATTACTAATTTATATGATATCGGCTAAAACACTTGAACTTATCGCAACAGAGAAATATTATTTTGTCAGTTTTAATCTAAGTTGATCCAAGGTTCAAGAAAAATGCTTTTACGAATGAAAAAGCCTTTTAGGGGGGAGATTTTGTACCCAGTTAGCGACAAGTTTCGGATCGATGTCGCACTTGTTGACTTAAAAATATTTCATATCATTTGTCAACAAAACCGATGCCGATTCGAAAGTTGTCACTAATTGGTACAGAACATTCACATTTTATTGAAGATAAATGTTTTAAATTTCCTACCACTAGCTTATTAATAAACTCACTTTGCACTATGCACTTTTTTGCAAATTTCGACGTCGGTTCTGCGCAAAAGTACTGTGGACGGCGTTGCCGGAGTGATATGCACAAGAAATGTTATATACCTTTGACATGCGGAAGCGCCTCTTCCCCGCAACACAGAAAGGAGAATTCTACTTAGTAAGCGCGGCCGACGGTGGACCTAACAAAGTGCATGTTTTCAATGGCCTGGAAGAAGCTGTTATTGCATTAACTGGATTGAGAACCAGAGCTTCAGGCATAGGAGGAGTTCTGGCTTGTGGTTCAAGAATTCAACCAAGAAGCTGACATAGATGCGCCCATGGTTACTGTGCCCGACGGCTTCGCATACCTTTGTGAATCCATTGCCATAGCGCCCGCTTACTCTGCTGCTATAGTTGCAAATATGTACATCAGAATCCATAATTTTCCTCGAAATATGTAAAATTAACCAATTTTACAATAAACAAGCACAAGATGAGTGTTTTTTTAATTCCTTTCCACTTTGTTTTCCTTCATTCAGCTATCTTCGAAAAACAACTGATAGCTGGCAATGCTGCACATGTTTCCGCAAGGGTTGTAGCATGTGGATTTTTCATTTTTCGTAGCGTAGCTACGAATTACGAACTACGAAAATTCGGGTTCTAGAATAAGGGGTT